ACCCCAAGGTGACACATGGCGCCGGGCAGCATATTTTGAATGGCTGCTTGGCGTGAGAACTGACAGTGCTGCGCTAGGGGGAGGCTGAGGAGCCTGTCACCTAGAAAGTGGAAGGCATGCGGCGATCCACTGAACACAGGGTCGCGACCCACTTTTGGGTCACTACCCACCAGTTGAGAACCAAGGCTTTAGACAATTCAATCAATATTGTCCAATTAAAATGAAAACAATGTGTTTAGAATATAAAAAATGGCAACTAAATATTTTTGTTATTTAACTATGACTTTTAAAAGCTATCACTGTGTTCTGTGCATGTAAGTTGCTGGAATATTACTATCGGCAAGCTATTTGAGCTTTCTTTAACAAGAGGTTATAAGAAACAGTCAACTGAAATTAATACGTTTAATCTTTTGGGGGCGTATTTATGAAGCGGTGAATGTGACATTAACCAAATATTCACTACAGGTGATTTTTCAGGTTGAATTTGTTTTGAATTACAGTGATCTGTTCATCTGTGGTGAACTTTTAGTGAGTGTCACTGCTTTAAAAATATGCCCATAAGTCAGAAAAATGTGAAAGTATCTTCCACTAAAGCAGAATAAATATGCATACAAAACAAAAGCAAACCATAAAACATTTAGGTCTATTTTGTTTACTTTTTTCAATTGTATATGTAAATGTATGTCATATAATGCATGCAGATAATGTCACATTCATTCTTCCAGGATATATTAGTAAAATATTAAAGACTTTCCAGACTATAGATATGTTTGGATATGTAAAATGGTAAGCTAGAAATAGAATAAACAGAATCCAGTCCTGCTTCTTCAGAAGAAATCTATGTATGTATGTATATATATATATATATATATACAGCTGGGGACCAGAAATCGATCCAACAGCCCTTGAAAGCTTGAAAGGTAACTAAATGCTAATATGCAAGTATGCTGTGCAAATTTGCACATTAAAGACGAACTTTGCCCATATCTTATCTTTAAAATAACAACAAACACACCTTTTGAAATGTTTAGTAATGACAATTTACAAACAGATACATCCAGATAATTGCAGGCTTTGTACTCTTTGCATACCTCAGTTCTCTTTTCTTTCCCAGTCTTCTGACAGTGGACATTTTTGCTAAGGGCAGATTACGAGATCTCCCTTTACTTCCTGGAACTCTGGCACATGTGACTAGGACGTGTGATCATGCACATTATCTCAGGAGAGGAAAATGCCTTTCCCTGAGATCTCATGAGATTACAAATGTGATTTCCCAGCAATGCTCTGCTGATGTAACCTTCTCAGGATGCAAAGCTTTGGCACATTACATAATTTATACCAGAAGTGGACCAGGGAGAAGATGAACTCTTATTTGTCAATAAATGAAAAACAAGTTTGTTTAACTAATGAATGTAAGATGATTTTAATTTAATGGCTTTTTGATTGCAGTAAAGGGGGGTGAAGGTCCGCTTTAAGCCAACAACTGCACATTTACACAGCAGTTTACTTTAAAAGCAGGCAACTAGCTGTAGCAACTTTCAGCCTTTCCACTCTACTTAAAAATGAACTCCGGGCATACGAAAACTTAACCCTTGCAGTTGGGCTACCCCTGCACTGTAAGGGTTAAGTGCTCATTTTTTTAAATGAAAGAAGAAAAGCCCAGCCAATCTTTGATCGCTCAACTCTCTCCCCCTCCGATCTGGCGGTGGTATGTCTCTCAATGTCCTCATATCTCTTAATACACTGTATTTAATGTCATGACCCACAGATGCTTAGACCACCAGAGGCCGGGTGAGAAGATGCTGCAGCGATTAGTCTAGCAGACAGGCGAGACCCAGGATCGGGTAACTATTTATTTTTTATTTTAGACCCTAGAGAAAAACAAACACTTAACCCTTGCAGTGTAGGGGTAGCCCTACTGCAAGGCTTAATATTTCAAATGCCTGGAGTTCTTCAAATGCTGGTCAGAAACATCCTGATAGTATCGAAGAGTGTCATTCCAGCCTGCCCCCCATTGTTTTGTGGGCTCCCTCATTGACCAATAGGAATGTGCAGGAAGTGAGAGGGAATGGACAAATTTGAGCACTGACATGGGCACTTAAAGCCCGGTCAGTCTACTCGACGTTTGTGGCCCTGTGACAGGTAGATCATGAGCAGGTTTTGCTGTCTGTAATGCCCACAGCAGCATCATTACTCCTGTCATATAGCAGTTGGAGCGTCGAGCTGGTGCTGGGGAGGAGGAAAGAGCCAGGTGAGGGTGTGGGCAGCTCTCTGTGATCACTGCATTTAGTCACAGGATCTCTGTGGGATTAACTGTGACAAATAATTATTCAGTTTAGGGAGTTTCTGCTGCTTTCACCACCACTGTGATTACAACTCATAATTTAAGTGAGACCATTCATACTATCTGAAGTAGATAAACTTTACAAGAAAATTCAACTTGTAGAACTGGAATTGCTGGCTATTTCCTTAGACAATCTTTTACTTATCCAATTAAAATCTGTTTATTGAACTGTTATTTGAACAAAACATTTGTCGGAGACGTTTGAAGTGAACATTTGTTCCTATTTTAAACAGGACGCAACATGTAGTTAAATTATCAGGTACTGAAAAGTTGGGCCCTGGGGGGTCCCTGGTTCAAATCCTGGGCAGGACACTATCTGCAAGGAATTTGCATGTTCTCCCCGTGCTTGCAAAGGTTTAATCCGGGTACTCTGGTTTCATCCCACACTGCAAAGACATGTTGGAAGGTTAATTGGTTCCTACCTATTTGGCCCTGTATGTATGAAATAGGGACCTTAGAGTATAAACTCCTTGAGGACAAGGACTTATATGAATGTGTACTGTGTAAAGCGCTGTGTACATTGTTGGTGCTATATATAAATATATATATATAATAGCAGAGGCACCTTGCACTTTATAAATTAACACTTTATTGTCTACTGGACTTACCCATTTTTATATATGTATATATATGTGCTTCATATATCCTAATATATAATATATCTGCATGCATATAATATATGTTTATACACAAAGGAATTTGTTTTTATTACACAGATTAGTTTATTAGGCACAGCGAAATACAGGTGATAAACATGAATGTGCCTATTACATCCAAGTATGGATGTAAAAGGCCTTAGTTGTTTGTGTTGTTTTGTTTTTTTACAAAGATTTTTTTTTATAAATGTATGATGATTCTGATCATCAACGCTTTTGGGATTCTATAGGGTCCTTATGAGGGACAGGGCATTTAACCTTGGGAATGGGTGCACCTCATAAACCTCATCACATGCTGGCATACTGCAAGAAAATATCAGTAAACACACACAGCCCACTGATGCCATAGTGCAAGCAGTGCAGTGATAAGCATCATAAGCATCTTTCAATATGCATATAAAGGAGGCACAATTTGGGGCAGGTGGACTATGGTAGTTTGTAAGCTAAGTCAGGAGATGTGTGTTTAGTTATTGGCGCCAGTTAGGGCAAAGCCCGAGACATTGAGGAGGTGGAAGTTGCCAAGTGCCATTGCAGTAGAGAACTGAGTAGGAGCCTAGTCTGCAGATACCAACCTGGTCTCAGCCAGGGAGAAAGTAACACAAGAAAGTTTCAGGATTCACTTATTATTGACTGTTGCCTGTGTGAGCTGTTGGAAGGGGTTTCTGGACACTGTAAAATTGACGTGTGTGTTTTTGTGTAAAATAGACCATGTTTCGTGCACAGCACATGGGCCGTTAAAGTCCAGACTGCAGTAGTACAATGCAGTATGATGCATGATTCTGATCATCAACTCTTTTGGGATTCTATAGGGTCCTTATGAGGGACAGGGCACTTAACCTTGGGATTGGGTACATATTTCCTCAAATGCTAGAGGTGCCCAGAAAACAGGATGCAATAAGATATGTGTTTCAATACCTCTGATAGTATTTATCTGATGCTTTCTGCATTTTCCAAAAGCCCATCACTATGATGGGTGGCCTTGTTGGCAAATAGGAATGTGTGGGAGGCAGAAGGGGCAGCATTTAAAACAGAAAAAAATTGCAACTGCATCCTATAGCAGCCAGCGATTCTGGCCACCACCAGCATTGGAGGGGACATGCAAATGTATTGTACGGATGCAGCCTAAGTACCTTTAAAGTAATACTGATTTCATTGTTTACTCAACCTCTTGGATTTTCTGTGTCTCTAATCTTATTGTATTAATTTGCCTCATTGTTTTCATTCGTCTTTTGACTTATTATCTGATCATCCAGTGCGTCTTTTTTTATTACTTTATCATACCCACTCAGGGTCTTTGTTTTGTTTTTCCTATGCCTTTTTTTCAATCTGTTCTAAGGAGTTTTCATTTTTTAGGTTACTGTATTTTACTATGAAGTGGTGGTTATATTAACTGGCATATACCTTCTTATTGCCAAAGACAAATAATGCTGGGATTTCTGTAATACCTGCTTGGCTTATGCAAAGATCCAGTTTTAGTGAATATCCATAATATTATCAAACAAAAGGTTTGTCTTTCCAGTTATACAGTATATGGGAGTTCACCCTGCTAATAGTTTATACGTAGACCTCTTGGCATCTGGCCAAAGTGCAGACATTGTACCATAAATATGCTTGACAATAACTACACTGGATTTCAGTTGCAATAAGACTAAAATCCTAAAAATAAGATAAATATACTGCTCAGCTAATAGTTTACTATTTCAGGATATCATGCAGACACTTTATTAGGAAATATATAAGCCCTTTACAATCTCTCTTTAAAACCTGAAAACTATTTTTGTCTCTCTAAACTTTAGCCAGCTACACACTACTTGGCTCAAATGTATAGCCTATTGCCTACTTAGTCATTATGTAATCCTTCTGCATGATTCAAGCATACATACACTAGAACATCTGTTCCCACATTATTAGTGATAATTATTTATACACCAGCTGTTCCAAGTTCATTTATTTTCTAACATGTTGCTATTTTATCCCCATGTACTCTTGTACATAAACAGAAGTACTCTGCTGTGTCTCTCTGCAACATATCAACACAAGTCCTTAAAGTCATCAATGCAACTGAGGAACTCATAGCAGGATCCACTGATACATGGGATTCCCCAGAAAATACTCTTGAACGGGGGACTTTTCCTGTAGGTGCTGACCCACTCAGTCTAGATGAGCAACTCACCAAGCTGGAAGAAAATGTAAGAATGGTTAAAGTTACTTCAATATTATTTTCAGTTTACTATGCAGTGTAAATAAATACATTTTGGTCTAAGTAATTAACTTCTTTAACAATTAGAAAATGTGGCTATTGCTCTCCCTGAAGCTTTTACCTATATGTACATCTCTCATATAAATGCAGTATCTACCCTATTAAAATATAATAAACTGAAGAATTAGCACACAATCAGAGGAATCATCAGCCATTAAAGCAGACATGTGAATTAATTGCTACACTGAATGATGGGCTCAACAATAACATAATCCTCCATGCATTATCTCACATTTAAAAAAAAGTCTGAGCAGTCTTTAGGCAAAAACATTAGTAAAACTTTAGGCAAAAAACAAAAGCAGGTATTCATTTACATTTATCGTATTTATCAAGCCAAAGACAGAGATCCATATAGCAGTAAAAATGTGAAAAGGTTTCTAACACTTCCCCACTCTATCCTAAACTAAGAAAAAATATTTGGCAGGAGATACAATTTAAGTTTGCTATAGTTCTTGTAATATATAGTGTGCTTAGGTTTAAAATGTTTTCCTTTAGAATCAAATCTTCAATTTACTAATTGTACTTAATAAATTAGAATTGGTAAGTGGTCCACAACCTAACCTAAGAGAGTCAAAATGGTGAAAGGATGAGGGTGCCACTCTGGATTCCAAAAAGTGCAGTAGAGTCTTTATTAACAGTATTATAGATTCTTTATTAATAACAGTGGAGACTCCCCAGCATTAGAATGCTACATCAGTGCTGCAGACATGTCATTTGAAAAGTAGATCTCCACACAAAAAATTGTGGGCACCCCTGATCTAAGTGGTGCTTCGCTAAGGGAGGATTGCAATGCAACAAGTTTAGTAAATATCAGACTTTAGTAAAAAAAATATTCACTCCTGCGTGCCAAAGGAAACCAGACTTGGTACTTGGATTTTTGAAGCCAAGTCTGTATCCTTCCAAAGAAAGAACTGACAAACAAATTTATATAATTTCTGGCTTTGCTTTTATCATTAGGCTGAGGTTCTTCCAAATACACCAGAGAGGGACGCATTTACATAATTGGAGGGTATATCAGACTACTGCAAATTTATATTATTAAACAAAAGTACAGTATCTTGCATAATTTTTCCTAATGGTGGACTCCAGGCTAACTTTACATAAACATATGTGAATGGTTTATCTGCAGAGAGATTTTTAGTTCTATTCAGCTATTTCTGTGACCCAGACAGTTGAGGCAGACAACATAGCTAGGTCCTAGACTTCCCTGCAGACTGCACTGCAATGGAACAAAGCCTGATCCAAAACATGTTCACAGTGCTAAGCTGCCAGAGCAATGCAGACCCTTAGGGCTGGTAAATGAACCATGAAGCAAAGCAACAAATTGCTGTTGCCTGTAGACTATTATTAGGTTCCAAGCCGCATATTTCTAAAACAAGATTTTCAATTGAGAAAAAAATTTTTCAATGAAAGTAAATAGGGTCTATTTTTCTCTGAGATTTTCTGAGTTTGTATGAGGAGATCCAATCAGTGCATAAGAGTCAAACTAAAAATCATGACTTATTCTACTCTACCACAGTGTGTCACATGATGGTGCTAAGCTTTAAGACCATAGCTTATAGAGTAATATGTAGCTGGACAGCAGAGTCATTAGAAAGAGAATAGTGAGTTCGAATTGAAGACCAGTGTGTTGCAATACAATTGCAATTAACAGTTCTCAAAAGTTAGATTCTTTTCAAGTATGAATAACACATGTCAAGAGTGTAGGAGAATTAAAGTGACACTATACTCAGAAGGTAAATCTTAAAAAATGCATTCAAGTACCCTAACTGAAATGTATCTTATTTGTGCATCAATCATCTCTGAATTGGTGCGGACACTGTTCTTCCTTCTGGAGGGTGGCTACTTTTGTTCCCTATGGTCCCTGTGTGTGTAATGTAAAGTAGCCACCGTTCCAGTCTTGCTCCCGTGATGGACTACAAACTCATGTTTAGTTTACTAATTTGTATTGAGATTGTAGTCCATCACAGGAGTGTGCTTGGACCAGTGGCTACTTTACAACACACACAGGGATCACGGGGAACAAAAGTAGCCACCCTCCAGAAGGGAGGACAGTGTCAGCACCATATAGAGATAATTGTAGGATCTATAGCCGAGTGATACACAAATAAGCTACATTTTTGTTAATAGTTAAGGTACTGTATTGCATTTTTAAAGTTTAACTCCTAAGTTTAGAGTCACTTTAAGCATGAATTCATGATTTTTCTGGATCTCAAGGTCTGCTCCTTCATCAAGTGTGATATGTTTGTTACTTCCACCAACTCCAACTAAGCCGTATTGTAAACAGGTAGATCCGCCGAGAATAAAAATAAAATTTGCACAACACTAAAATGTAAATATTATTTCTTTCTAAATAAATAATGGAAACATATTAAAATATATCCATACTCCCTAAGACATTTTTGATTACTTACGTTTTCTGTTTGATTTTGTTTCTGTTATCTTGTGTGATTTTGATTTACCTTTATTTTTTTCCCATGTTCTAAGCTAATCATCAATAGTTTTCGATTTTTGAATCCAACTACACCCAGGATCTATATTTTGTGACATCTATTAATAGTCCATATATCCTTAGTGCCTGGAGTTAAAAAAATGAGATAGGCTTCTGCTATTTGGCTCTGCCAAGAGCTGCTACCCAGGAACCTATGACTTTGAGCTGCCTGAACGTTCCTTCATTTGGTGGCTCTTAAGAAGTTTGTAGGTTTATCTAGCAACTGTTTTACATAATGTACATGGGTGTAACTATTCAGTAATCATTTATGACTATTGAATCTAAGATATAAATTGTTACATCTAAGGTGCATCTAGCACATTATAAACCACAGAGAATGTTTCTAAGTATCATTATTATGATCCATCATGTATAGAATTTACAAAATGTTAATATTTTCTTTCCATGTTTTTCAGTTACTGCTAGCCACTTTACAATATTTTTAGCCTTTTGTGACTGAGTCAGACGTCTAGATTTCACTACAGATGAAGAGGCAATTGAAGTGGCTTTAATATTCAATCTCAGTCTGTTATAAAAGCACTAGAAGATAGGCTGCTAGTAGGAACCCATTCTAACGATGATCAAGATAACTTAATGTCTTTGTGCCCTTATCAGTAAATTTAGCCATTACTTTAAAAAAAAATTCTGTTAACATACCATTTCTCCTATACAAAGTTCCCATCACAGTAGAAAAAAAAGAGTTTCTGCTTGTTGTTAAAGTCTATCTAAGTAAGTGTACAGTTTTCTAAAATGAATAAACAAGAGTATAGTTAACTGAATGTTTTATCAGTGTTAATTCCCTCTTCGCTTATTGTTTGCCATTACTTGTAAAACAGTTTTTTATCATGATACCACCATATACCCTATATATTTGCTTTATTTATGTTAATTTTGTTTTTAAAAAAATCCAGACATTATTTAGAAATATGTATCTTTACAAAATGTAATATATTGGAAATGTATTTTTAGCTTAACATTTTGCTATCAGCCTTTGTAGGCTTAGCTAGCCCTCAAGAGCCCGAACATTTGTTTGTGAATGATCAGGTACTCAGTAGAACACAGTTTCACCAGACATATACACTCACTTGTAGAGTAACATTACTACATGTCTGCACGAATAAACATATGAAGGAAATACCAATTCAAGTTTAAATTGATAAACACTAGGGGGGTGATTTACTAACCTAAACACACGCACGCACTAGGTGCGTGTGATTTTTACACAAAACTTATTTATCAACCAAAAAGTCTCTAAAAGCATATTTCCACTAATGCCATATATGGAAAAATCATGCACATGATGCATATATAATGCTGCTTCACACTTTAGACAAAAATGGTTAGCTCATGCATTTACATTCCTGCATTCATCAACGCAAGCAACACAATGTAGAGCTAATGTACACAACATCACCTTGCAATTCATGCAGGGCTTTGCACAACACACCTGCTGGTTGTGTACACACTACAAAGGTGTCTAGATTCCACCAATAGATCATGCTGGGAGGGAACACACTACAGAGGTGTATACTTGTTTGTGGCGTGTTTATAAGGTTAGTAAATCAACCCCTAGGGGTGCACCGATATTAGTATTGGTATCAGTGCCGATACTGAGTATTTGGGTGAGTATTGTACTCGCTAAAATGCTCCGATACTTATCCCAATACAGGAAGATTTCCTCTGAGCGGCAGTGCCATGAGGGAACATTGAGCCGGCCTCCCTGCCAATCAGGAAGCCAGTCCATGGGAAATGACTTGCGCCCAAGCTTCCTGATTGGCCAGGAAGCCGCCTCCATGCTGTTTGGCCTGCTCGATGCTGATTGGTCGGGAATCCAGCTTCCCAAGCAATCAGCATTGGGCCAGCCAAACAGCATGGAGCCAGCTTCCCGGCCAATCAGGAAACCAGGGAGCGGGTAATGACCCGCCTCCCAGCTTCCTCATTGGCCGGGAAGCCAGCTCCATGCTGATTGGCTGGGATCGAGCAGCCCAAACAGCATGGGTAATGACACGCTGCCCGGCTTCCTGATTGCCTGTGAAGCCGGCTACATGCTACCAGAAATACCAGCATCGGTACTCGTATCGGTGAGTACCGAAATATAAATATCGGTACTCGTACTCTATACCGAAAAACCAGTATCGGTGCATCCCTAAAAACACATTTACTCTATTTCTTAATTGAACTACTGCACTGCTTCAATAAAGCTTGTTTAAACTAAAAAAAAATAACGTAATTTACTTATGATCAATTTATTGAAGCCACTAAGCGTTGTTCTGAACTCCTTCTAATACTTGAGTTGCATAAGTAAATGACAGTGTATTGACAAATTCCTCAATTAATGAAGATTTACACGGTGAGTACATGATAATGAGCTGAACATTCATTTTTAAGTGCTTATGT